TACATACATACACAAATATGCAGATACATAGATACATACATACATATACACACATATGCATACACAAAACATGCATATGTAAACAAAACACAAATATGAATAAAAATATACACAAGCACACATATACATAGAAACACACATACAAACATAAATATGTACAAATACAAATGCATATATATTCATATATATTCACAAATATACACATATAGATATAGACATATAGAGACAAATAAATACACCTACACACTCATGAATCAGCATGAGAATTATTATAGCCTCTTACTTGTAATTGCCCTGAGTTGGGTACCACAGTGAAACACTGAAGAACTGAATAATCAAATCAGTATTCCCACAGAAAAGTGATCAAGTTAACATTATACTAAGAAAAAAAAGAAGCCACGAACAAAAGCACATATATTTGTCATTGCATGTATATCATATTCAAACAGATGCATAGAAGTTAAATCTCCAATTAAAAAATATGAAGTTAGGAAACACCAGGTAGCAAGTATTTGAAGTGATTTTTTTATTTAATGATCTTGTCACCCTTGCATAGTTAGCACTATTGAAATGAACAATTAAGAGTTGTGCCTTTCATATTATTTAAATTTTGTCTCAATAACAAAGTGATGAAATGGAGAGTTACCAGGCTTGTGAAAGTCGCACTGAGAGTTAATGTCTCATTCCTGTGCTCAGACATCCCATTGCATTGTGGGAACTTGCTCTGCTCTTAGGCACTGCTACCTAGGCAGGAAGGAACATAAATAGCCTTTAACCATACCTGTCTGAAAAGCAATGTCAGTTAGTGGATGAAACTTTCTCTAGACAGAGATCTGAGGTCCACTCTGAGATGTTTTCTGAGAGGACTGATGTGATAGGGAGGCTAGGACAACACTCTCAACCCATGCACAGCTGTTTTCTAAACAACAAGCTCTTTTATCCCACTGGGTCTTCATGGCTGCCTGAGACCTCGTGCCCACATAAATAAACTGAAGACCTGGGGAAAAGCTGGCTAAGATGGCATGTTGAATGGACACTCCTTCCACAGCAATTAATCTGTGTTTATATTAATTCCTATCACTGGCCCTTCTGAAAGTTATGGCATTCCAAATGAAGATACCACTATTGTGGTATATTTACATGTAGTAATTTGACTTGGACTCGTATATGGCATTTATATTTATATAATGCAAACAACCATACTCATAATTCACTTCAACGGTTGTTAAAGGTCAAATTTAACTTATCAGGCTTTATAAAATAGATGCTATAATGACAGCAGAAATGTTCAGTTTTTCCATTCATATTCATTTGTCTTTATATATTTTATCTCTTGTTATATACGTTAGGTGCTGATACGTTATTAAGAATTCACAAGTAAAAATTCCAGACTGAAGTTTGCATTTCCCAAGCCCTTAGACATAATACTGACCAATTAGAACTCTGAGTCATAATTGGGAAAGTCTTCATGGCCACACACATTATAAATAATATCCCCAGAGTAGTTAATTCTCTCAGGTCAGTCTTGTGAGATGACAACTTACAGAAGATGTCCCATTTTGCCTCTAAGACTTGATTTCACCAAATATGCCTCTTTTCCTCAGAGGGTACTCCTATTTGTCAGGGGTTCACATTGCAGCACTTCCTCATTGCTGTGTAACTGAGAGAATGATGCTGGAGGAGCGAGAAATGGTTTGACCTTCTGTCTCAGGGTTTACAGCTACTGAGCTAAAATGTCATTGTTTTACTACCTACTACTACTACTACTACTACTACTACTACTACTACTACTACTACTGTAAGTTAGTTTCCTGCTTGCTTGCTCTTTCCACAAAATGTCTAAGCACTTTTCTTTTTTTTTTTTTTTTTTTTTTTTTTTTTTTTTTTGTCCCTCGTGTCCTTCTAGAATTCCAAAAATCTTCCTGGGAGCAGAAGCAGTTTTTATCTATTTTTTTTTCCTTTGGTTGCAACTGGGTAGGCTTCTGACTTTTCCAAAGAAATGTGTCACAGATCACACCTTCCTTCTATAGCTCCATTAAAAAAAAAAGGTAAGATGGCTTCCTCTAGACACTTTCTCTTGAGATGCCTATCCTTGGAATGCAGTCTCCATGTGGAAGGAAAGCCTAAATGTGGTCATTTAGAGGCCCATCAGGAGAGAAACTGGCAATACAGCCTGGAGTCAGCAGCAACCACCAAACACAGTGCATGCACTTTCAGCTCAACCTAGCTCAAGGCTTAGCATCTTCCGTGGAGGCTTTGGTTATATTACAGACCAGAGGAAATTATTTTCATTACAGCTTGTCCAAAAGCTTGAACCGCAGCACCCATAAGCAGAAATAGCTGCTTTGGTACACCAAGGTTTTCAAGGACTTTTCGCCATCATAATTGTAAGAGAGATGCTGATACTCAGGAGTGCAGGAAGTCTGCCATTCCAAATCTATTTTTATGACATTAGTTTGGTGTCCTACATTATATTTTGAATTTCTTTGTGTTCTGAGTTGATAATATCATTTCCTTGTGGGATCTTAATACTTTCAATAAATACTTTTTTCCTCTTGAAAGTCTCTTATTTCCTTATTTTTTAAACCAATGTCTAGATTTTTCCCCAGCATTTGTTGTGAGGAAACAGCTCACAGGATAAAATTAATCAGTTTTATCTTTTTTGTAGTATTAACTATTTTGTTTTTCCTTCTATATCAGCAGTAACTTAGCTTGCCTCTATTGTCTTTAAAGTTGAGGCAGCAAGGGATTCAAAATTCCCACAAGATTTCTTATTCAAGAATCCTACCAGGCAAAAGAGCTAACTGAAAGGATTTTATTATGATTTATCAATAACTCAAGCCTGGGAGCTCAGCTCTGCTTGGATTGCCCTCTTTTGTCTGATGTTTCTCTGCCATCTTTTACTCTTGTCCCTTAAATAAAACTGAAGTGTCAGACTCTGTACACGCAAAGATAAAATGGTCCAACAATCACCCAGATGATGCTTTCTGTCTTTCAAATAATTCCAACAGTCCAGAAAGATTTATCATTGTACCTTGCAAGGCCCTTGTTTAGTTTATTTATTTATTTGTTTTCATCATGTCTGCCTCAGTCTCTTAACCTCTCACCTCTGTTCTGTGGATGTCCTTTCCTGATTATCATTTATTTAGAAGATTTATTTCTGTCCATTTATAAAAAAGTGACAACATGTCCATTTCAGGTGACAGCTCCCAAATGGCCTGGTGTAGTCTGATCAAGTGCACAGAGGGATTCTTTCCTTAAAAAAAAAAAAATCACATGGAGTGAGTAAAAGAGAAAGTGAGAAGGGAATAGAAATACATTAGTATTTAGTAAGAGTTAAAATTTATCTGTAACTGGAAAATGTTTATGTTTCTGAATATATGTTTATTGGAAAACCAGTTTCATTTACTGAGACAGTAATAGAGTGAACCACAGTGACATGGAAACTCTTGCAGAGTTATTTTTTTGTCTTCACAAAACAAAAACAGAAGTTGGTGGAAAACCTGTTTTTTAAATGAGGGAAGTAAAAATTCAAAAGTGAGAGGATACAGATTTTGGCAAATATATTTTTTTCATTCAGGTGAGTATGAAGAACATTGTAGCAATGATTGCTTATGTATTTAAAATTTGACATAGTAAGCATTCCTCTTGATTAATAAGGCTAAGAAAAAAAACTTAAAAGACAACTTTGTTTAGATTCATTATTACATGGTTAGTTATATATATATATAATACTATTATTCTGTTATACTGTTATTCTATATTATATATGTAGTCAAGATTTACCCAGGTTTGGTGTATCCCTATAATCCCAGCACTTGGGAAGCAGAGGCAGAAGGGTTAGGGGACAAATGCCAGTCTGGACTACTTTGATATCCTGTCTCAATTAAAAATAAAAGTTAAAAAAAGAGCCACCAACATCTACAAACTAATTGTTAGTGTCCACAGGATAATCAGTGCAACTTCTTGACCACAGGTAGTTCTGTCTCCTTGGTCTCCTCTGTTCTGTGGAAAGTAGTAACTTGGACAAAGCTGCCAGTTTGGGTTTAGCTTCTTCCCTGGCTCACCCTTAAGTCTGCAGAGACATCTGTGATATTCCTGAGCAGGTTATCACCTCGCAGTCAATGTTGTTTCATTTGTTTTAATCCTTTACCTTCTTTCTCCATTTGTAATATAGAAGCTTGAAATGGACTTCTCCTCCTTTCAAGTCATTCTCCAGAGATGTCTAAAGACATAGAGATTCACCCTCAGTTTAAAGCACTGCCCCCTATGATTCTAAGGGTTTGAGGGACACAGAGAAAGAGCATAGAGTCAATAATGCTAGAGTTGCTTAAGATCCCACCCTGCTACCAGTGTGGGCTTGTTTATACCTCATCTCCTTTGTGAGACCAAGTCTTGGTGTTGGCTCTGGAGTCCTACAGGACTGATTGTGAAAGTGGCTCTTTTAGATCACATTCAAAATCCTGGCTGCTTTATGGGGTAGGCAGGCAATGGAGCACTGAGTGGAAACCAGTCTCAGTCATTTACTGATGCTGTTTGGCAAATTTGTGATCTCTGGAACTTCTTAGAAAACCTAAGTAGGTCAGCAAAGCCCTGCTTTCTACACACACACACACACACACACACACACACACACACACACACACACACCTCTCCCTTGGAGCTTCATTATCATTTCCTCCCTTCTTATCTTAGTCATTGCCATTCCAATCCATCCCTTGAATCCCAAAAATATCAAACATTTTACACAGAAAGTCCTCTAGACACAAGGCCATTTCATTTCATGTCCACCAAGAGCTATTACAACCAAAGATGGTAGGGTAAGAATATCATTTAAACCATAGGGGATAGGAGAGGATAGAGGACAACAGGGTCTTAAAGATGGGTATTTTATGATTACAAAGGGTTGCACAGGACTGGGAAGTCAGAAGTTTGTTAGCCAGTTGACCTTCTGCCTTAGTTACTTTTCTCTTGCTCTTATAAAATGCAATGACCAGAAGTAACTTATAGAAGGCAGGCTTTATTCTGTTTATGCTTCTAGAGGGGAAAGAGTCCATCAGGGTAGGGAGGTATAGCAATAAGCAGTAGACATCGCAGCAATAACAGAAAGCTGAGAGTTCAGATCTCCTAACATAAACAGGAAGATGAAAGAGTGACCAGGAAGTAGAGTGAAGCTATATATACTCTCCATGTCTGCTCCAGTAACATATTTTCTCTACCAAGGCCACACTCCCTAAACACCCCCAAAAAGCATCACCAACTGGACATCAAGTTGGTGCTCAAAGGCCTGAGCCTGGGGGCAAAACTCTTATTCAAATCATCACATCTTCTATGTTTATTGATAAACAGAGAAGCCGAGGCATGATCTTTATTATTTTTTTCAAAGATTTATTTTATTTTTATTTATGTGCATGCATATCTGCTTGTGTGAGTATATGCTATCTTTTTAGCTCTCTATCAGGGTCTTTAAGGTTCACCTTACCAGAAACTTATTTTATTGGTTTAGTAAACTATTGGGGCTATGGTTTTGTTTTAATTGTCAACTACTTTAATGTGAGTACCTTATCTTCTCACATTATCATTTAACTGCACACATATAATCTTGGGTGTGGATGATTTCTTGTAGCTTGTAGAGTAGCCTAACCTGATGATTCTTGCAGAATCCTGCCTACCACATCCATTTTCATACTCTTTGTTCTAGCTGGAATCATGCAACTTATGTATCAGCCCCGTTACGTGCATTTCTAAGATCCCAATTCACCCTTCCCAAACTCATCCTCCTAAGCCTAGCTCAGGGAGGGAAACTTGTGTGCTAGCTCAGGTAAACCCAGCTGGGAGTCACATTAGCATGCTTTTTTGGTTTCTGCTAGATTGGAATCATCCCAACTACACAACCAAAAATCATTACTGAGGGTTTGAATGACTGACCTATCGATTCTTCATATGTGATCTGAAATCAGCAAGTTTAGACAACAACAAAATGGAACAAAATTTCCACTTAAAAGAGAGAGAGACTAGAATCTCATAGCAGGTACACAACCAACTATAAATTTTAAGGATCTCAACTGCTCCAACATAAGACAACAGTTATTTGACTAGACTAAGAAGCAGAATCAATCTTTATGTTTTCTGCAAGAAACTCATCTTATCTTTAAGAATAGGCACCACCACCTTAGAGTGAAAGGATGCAAGAAAGTACCCCAGCAAGTCGGACTGGGAAGCAAATAGGCGACTATATCCCAGTGTCTGAAAAAGCAGACTTTCAATAAAATTGATTGTACCGATAAAAAAGAAAACTCCATTCTTATCAAGGTACAATTAATCAAGAAGATATAATCCTAGGAAGAGATAAAAAAAAAAACTCTGGTATAGCTAATTTCCTAAAGAAAAAATTATTACTTTCTTCAAGACATAGATTATCTCCAACTAAGTAATAGTAATTTCTATACCCTACTTTCTCCAGTAGAGAGGCCATATAGACAAAAAAAATAATCAGATAAATACACAAATTAAATGACATCACATATAAAAAAAAGACTAAACAATTATCTGCAGAGCATTCTACCTAACACTAAGAATGTACTTTCTAGTTAGAAGTCTATGGGAATATCTGTAAAAAGAGACCACTTACAAGGACACAAAACATCTCAGTCAATACAGAAAAAATGAAAAATTCCATATGTACACTCTGACTAAAATACAATAATGTATAAAATCAACAGCAAAATAGCCTAGTAAGTAATTGAATCATGGAGATTAAACAACATAATATTGGATGACAAAAGAAGAAATCAAGGCAGAAAAAACTTTAAATCCTTGTGAAATTGAAAACATAGCCCAACAAAACCTCTGGGATATGGTAAGAGAAGTTCTAAAATGGAATAGCTCTAAGTAATTATAATAAACACTTAGAAAAAGAACAAAAAACAACTTACTGATATAATTTACAAATTTGCATAAGCAACCCCATATTCAGTAAATGGAAAAAATAAATCAAAGCAGAAAGCAATTCCCATTAAAATTTGAACGCAACTCTTCACATATCTTGAAAGGACAATCTTCAGCATCTTAAGAAAACAAAAAACAAACAAATTGACCCAAACCCAGCATTGATAAAAAACAATCCTGAATAATAAAACAACTGCAGGAGACATCACTATCTGCAATTTCAAGTTGTACTATAGAGTTATAGTAATAAAAATAGCATGATGTTGGCATAAAAACTGACATGTCAATCAACGGATTTGAACAAAAGACCCAGGCATAAATTCACACACTTGAGTTTTGATAATGAAGACAGAAATACACACTGGAGAAAAGATAATATCTTTAACAAGGGGTGTAGGTCAAACTAGATGCTTCATGTAAAAGAATCCAAACAGATCCATACTTATCAGCTGGCACAAAACTCAACTCCTCTGAACTGTATTGCAAAATAAAAACAACAACAACAACAACAAAAAAAAAACCCTCAACTCCAAATGGGTAAAAATCCTCAACATAGAACCAAATACACTGAACTTGATAGAAGTAACAGTGGGTAATAGCCTTAAACTCATTGTCACAGGAAAAAGACTTTCTGAACAGAATATCATTAGCATAGACACTAAGAACAGCAATTAATAAATGAGATCTCATGAAACTTAAAAGCTTCTGAACAGCAAAGGACACTGTTATTCAGATAAAGTAGTAACCTATAGAATGGGAAAAGGAATTAATCAACTCCACATCTGAAAGGAGACTAATATCCAAAATATATAAATGACTAAAAAAATTCAGATATCAAGAAAATATATAACCCAACTAAAAAATGTTGTACAGTTCTAACCAGAGAATTTTCAAAAGAGGCAACTCAAATGGCTAAGAAACACTTAAATAAATGTTCAATATCACTAGTCATCAGGAAAATCCAAATCAAAACTACTTTGAGATTTCCTTTTACAGAATCAAAATGGCTGAGACCAATAAAAACAAGTGACAGGGTATGCTGGTCAGGATGTGGAACAAGGGGAACACTCATCCACTGTGAACTTGAACAGCCACTATGGAAACCAGTGTGGTGGTTTCTCAGGAAAATGGGAATTGATCTACCTCAAGATTCAGTTACACCTCTATCAGATGTGGGGTTGATGAAGATCTTTTGCCATTCTGTAGGCTGTCCTTTTGTCTTATTTACTGTGTCCTTTGCCTTACAAAAGCTTCTGTTTCAGGAGGTCCCATTTATTAGTTGTTGCTCTCAGTGTCTATGCTACTGATGTTATATTTAGGAAGTGGTTTCTTGTGCTGATGCATTCAAGGCTGCTTCCTACTTCATCTTCTATCAGGTTCAGTGTAACTGGATTTATGTTGAGGTCTGTGATCCATTTGGACTTGAGTTTTGTGCATAGCAATAGATATGGATCTGTTTGCAGTCTTCTACATGCTGACATCCAGTTATGCCAGCACCATTTGTCAAAGATGCTTTCTTTTTTCCATAGTGCAGTTTTGGCTTTGTCAAAGATCAGATGTTCATTCGTGTGCGGATTAATGTCAGGGTCTTCAATTTGATTCCATTGGTCCACATGCCGTTTTTTATGCCATTATCAAGATGCTTTTTTATACATATTTTTTCTCTCTTTCATCTTCCAGGTCCTTTTTTAAAAAATATATTATTGCTTCCAGTTTAGCATTTTATTGAATTCCTGAGTGCACGAATGAGTGGTTCTCTGTTTCTTGTATCTTCTTCTGGAATCTTTTCTTTCTGCTTGATTGTTTTGTCCAATTCTGATATGTTAGTTTTTGTTTCATCTTTATTTTATTTTACTATAATCCTTAGAAGCCTCTTCTTCTTCTTCTTCTTCTTCTTCTTCTTCTTCTTCTTCTTCTTCTTCTTCTTCTTCTTCCTTCTTTTTAATGAAAGACAGGATATGGCAAGGAACTGGGAGGAATAGAGGGAACAGAAACTGTAATCAGGATATATTATATGAGAGAAAAAGTCTATTTTCAATAAAATGGAACAAAGAAAGTGATTAGAAATTAAGAAAGCAATAGAAAGAATTGACGAATCTAAGAGTTGGTTCTTTGAAAAGGGGAAAAGACGAATTTACACTTAGCCTAATTAACCTAAAGAAAGTAAGAGCATACCCAGATTAGCAGAGTCAGAGATGCATAATGAAACATTACAACAGAAATCAAAGAAACTCAGAATACTATAAAAGAGTACTTTGTAAATCCACACTCCATTAAGCTAGAAAACCTAAAAGAAACATATGAGTTTCTAGATTCATTCAAACCACCAAAATTAAAGCAGGAAGAGATCAACAACTTCCATAATTTCCACAAAAAGCCTATGTTTAGATGTATTCAAACAAAATTTCATCATATTTTCAAAGAAGAAATATGAGTAAATGTCCTTAAACTATTTTTTAAGAAGTAGAAACAGAAGGAGCACTTCCAAATTGCTTCTATGAAGTCACTATTACTCTAATATCCAAGACAGGTTAAAATATAAAGAAGAAAGTTATAGAACAATATCCACTATGAGCACACATACAGAAATCCTGAATAAAATACTTGCAAATCCAATGCAGGTATCTATCTAAAAGACCACTGACTGTGATCAAGTTGACTTTATAACTGATACACAAGGATGATTTGACATATGTAAGCCAATGCATTTAATAAATCATGTAAATGGGCTTTAAGATAAATATTTCATGATCATCTCAATAGATGCAGAAAAAGCTTTGAGAAAACCCAACATTTCTTCATGATAAAAGTCCTATAGATTGCAGGACAAAAGAGAACAGATGTCAATATAATAAAGGTATTATATAACAAAAATACAGCCAGTATCATTTTAGATAGAGAAAATCCTGCAATAATCCCACTGAAATCAGAATAAGAGAAGACCATTCCATGTCTTTTCATCATTGTGCTTGAAGGACTAGCTAGAGAAATAAGACAAGAGTAGGAAATTAAAGAGATGCTAGCAGGAAAAGAAAAAAGTCAAATTATTCCTTTTTGATGATGATACATAAGAGGTCCCAAGAATTCCAAGAGAATAGTTCTAGAAATTATTAACACTTTCAATGAAGTCTCTGGTTATAAAATTAACTTAAAAAATCAATAGCCTTTTTATACATCAACAACAAACACACTGAACATAGATCATGGGAACACTCCTATTCATAAGAGGCCCCCAAGATATATTATCTAGGATTAAATGTAACAAAAGAGATGAAAGACCTCTAAAATGAAAGCTTTAAATGTCTCCAAAGAAAGAGATTGATGAAGATATTTGAACATGGAAAGACTTACAATGCTCAACAATTAGTAGAAGTAAAATTATGAAAGTGATAGTTCTTTGCAAAACAATTTACAGAATCATCGCAATCAAAATGAAAATCCCCATTGCAGATTTCACAAAAATAGAAGAAAGAGCAATCCTATAATGCATATTGAAACAGAAAAGACCCTGGATAGCCAAGAAAATTCTGAGCAAAAAGAATAATTCTGGAGGGATTTCTATAGTAGCTTTTTAGATATATTACACAGTTATAAGAATAAAAACACCATGGCACCAGCACAAAAACAGACATATAGAACAATGGAACAAGACAGAAGGCCAAACCATGATTGTGCATAGCTATATCCACCTGATATTTGACAAAGATGCTAAAAATAAACATAATTTGATCTGCCTCTTCTTCTTTTTTACTTTCTTTTTATTTATTCTGTGTGTCTTTTACATCATGCCTCTTGATCTCATTCATTTCCCGATCCCTTTGCATCTGTCCTTTGCCCCTTCACCCCTCCCGTCCCCCCAAAATAAAACAAAATTTAAGAGAGAAAAAAGGGGGAAAATTAAAAACTACTCATGAAAGCTGCAGTGTGACACAGTGAATCATGCAATATACCCCTTCGTCCATATATCTTTACTTGCAAGAGTTCATTGCAAAGAGTCATTGGTCTGCTTCCAGGCCTCTGGTTTCTACTGCACTATAGATGGTGGGCCCTCACTGGGACTCTTCTTGGATACCCTGTTGTTGCCCTGCATTGTTGAGATCCTGCAGATTTGGATCTGCAGGTCAGATCTCTTTACTTGTTCCATCAGAACATAGATGGGATGGATGTTGGGGCAGACCAAGTCATAATAACCCTGGTTCTGGCCCTGAGCAGCTGCAGGGTTGCTCTGCCTGCCAGTTCTCCCATGTCCTTACCACCAGGGTTAACTCACCAGCATTGCCTCAGCTAATTTATCTATTGCAACAATGAACAATGGGTAGGGTCAATTCTTCTGCTTTCATGCTCTCAGGGTGGGCTCTCCCACACCATTAGGGACAGCTCTATTGTGTTGCCTAGGTGGAGGTACAGGGGCCACTATCCCAAGTGCTGTAGCTGATGAGGGGTAGGAACAGCCCTCCAGCTTTTATGACCCTGGGGCCAGCTCCTTTACCTGTCTCGGACTTGATGGGCAAGAGGTGCGAGGAGGGCATCTTTCCTCAGCTCACAAAGCCACATGTCAGATGAGTAATGGGGACAGCTCTCCCTTGCTCATAACATCAGGACTCAGTCATCCTCACCTCTGACCACCAGGCTGCTCTGCTGTGGTGCCTAGGCAAGGGGAAGGAACCATATCCTGAGTGCTGTAGCTGGTAAAGGGGAGGGTCAACTTCTTTGTCTGTTGCAGGTGGAAGTAAGGGTTGGGGGCATCTGCCTCTTCTGCGACTGTGTGTTATTTTGTTCTTTAAACATTCTCCTTTTAAAATTATGTTCATTTTCATTGACATGCAAAACCAAAACCTGTATGTGTAATTGGGATGCGATGGGACGCTCTGCTATGTGCTTACATTGGGTGGTATTCTTGCAGCATTTGGGTTCATGTCTGTGGAAGGATGGCTTGTAAATCGTTTCACTTACTTTTCCAAACTTGAATGAGAAAATGCAATGGGGTAATTTACAGTGACTGTTCCAGAAAAGAACGTCTTTAAAGAGGCGTGATGTTACCACTCTGTACCCCAAATGCCATATTCTGATTTCCTTTTGTCTCCAAGTAACTGATTAATAAGCTGGACATCACTTGAAAGGGTGAGAAATTAAAATAATTGTAATCCCAAAGTAAGCTTTGAGATACTTCAGCTTAGTGGTATTTCCCTATGGTTACACTGATGCCTATTTTCCAATTACTCTTTTGCCAAGTTTTAGCTTTTCTATGCATGTGAAAAGTTTTCAAAACAAGAACACCACTAAATATAGAGCAAAGATTATTCATTATCAATAAAATTGAATAAAACTCCTGAAATCATATTTCTGCATCATAGTATGGCACTTGAAGACTTGACCATAATAACCCTAAAAGTATCAAAGCAACTTTGTTCTCTGACACAATCTGAATGTGTATCAGATTTGTTATTTCTTGAAGGAAACAGGAGACAGAGAACAGAAGACATGACAGATGACAGGGCATGGGACAGGTGACAAGGCAAGGAAGTAGAAGACAGAACACAGTGACAAGAGTCAGAGCACAAGGACAGGGCAGAAGGAAGATGAGAGGGGACAGGAAATATGGTACAAGGTGACAGAGCATAGGAACAGGGTACAAAGCACAGAGCAGGGGACAGTGGGCAGTGGGCAGGGCACGGAACACAAGAACAGTAGAAAATACAAAAAACAGGGCACAAGAGACAGAGCTCAGAGCACAGGGGCCAGGAGACAGAACAAAAGGCATGGGGGATGGAGACATGTATACTGAATCTATTTAAATCAGTAGAAACTGAAGGGCCTCTTCCTACCTTTAACTGAAGGCAGCTTCGGCAAACATGTCTCTTCCTAGGCAGGAGCAGTGATGTAATTCAGTCATAGGCTGGTGTCTGTTAATGCCCTGATGCTGTTTAGAGGGTGAGCACAAGATAGATATCACAGGGAGACATCTGGGAGTGAAATCTGTGGCATATGTGACTATAAAATCTGAACATAAATATGCAGTTAAGGCTAAGAGAGGGAATATAGTGTGTAGATCAACGAATGATGTTTACAGCAGTAGTAAATTTAGAAAGAGATATTTATAATTAAGAGCATATTGAATGGCTTTGGATCATCTATAAAAGTGTACATTGTGACTCAGAGATGATTTTCAAAGATCCCCAAGAGAACAGGAGGATCAATACCACTCCGGTTGATGGGGAAAGGCTTGAGAGATTATGTTGGACATTTTCACAGACTAAATGACAATACAACAAATCAAAAATGTTGAGGTCAAATGAAAAACATCCCAATTCCCGTGGCATCGTGAGAGCTTGAGATCACTTTAAATTAGCAAATGCGGACACTCAGGGTCACATTTCACCTCTTTATGGTGCCAGAAGCTGTTGTCTTCATCGCCTCAAACCTTCCTTATACTGGCAAGGGAAAAGCTCTTTTTCTTTTTCCAGCCAGATTCCTGGTACAATACATTTTGTAATACTGTGTTGATATTACAATCACACGCACACAAATTTAAATCAGCTTGGAATGTCTTTTTTGCAGAAGCATCATTTTTCGGTCACAAGTTAAATATATTCAAGCAGGTCTGGCAGAGTAGTGCATCAGCTCTCATCTCCCCTCAGAGGCTTGCCTGCTTTAAAGGCCAATGATGAGTGTTTATTATAGAAAAGGACAAGGGAATATCTCTCACATACATACTTTGCATTTAGCTCCTCTTTAAGACATAATCCACAGAAGCTACATGTATGGATAAACCATGTGCTACTATTTCTTCACCATAGAAAGATTAGTTTTCTTTCTTTCATTTCTTTTGCTTATATCAATGGTTGTCATTGAACTCCCTGTGTAGTACAACAGATGACCTTGAATTCCTGATCTTTCTGTTCCTACCTCCCAAATGTTATGTGTATTAATTACTTTTCTGTTGCTGTGACAGCTATTACGACAAAAAGTAAACAAAACCAGAAAGAAAAAAAAAATACTATAAAGAGAAAAGTTTGTTTAAGGTTCCAGAGGGTTAGAGTCCATCACAATGAGGAAGGCATGGTCTGCTGGCAGGAACCGGAAACTGTCCAATTAGAATTGCTCTGCACATAAGAAACACGGAGAGAGAACACTTAGGAAATGGGGTCAGGCTATAAACCCTCAAAATCCACCCCTAATAAGTACATCCTCCAGGAAGACTACACATCCTAAACGTTCTGTCGTATCCCTGCAGAGCATTAGCTTGAGACTAAGTGTTGTGAGATTATGTGGATTGTTTTTTATTTCAGGGCTGACCACAAATCAGTTCTTCCCTGGGGAAAACCAGTTCTGTTCTCAACATCCCTTAGTTGCCTGTAGTTCTTTGTCTAAAGAAGGGAGACCCTGTGAGAGTAGCCCTTCCACCTTAACATAACTATTTGTGTTTTAATTTTTAAGCATAAAGACATTTTTAATTTTGCTTTTGTCTAAATATTTCTAATCTCACTTTCCTGTCCTAGATGAATTTGTTTCTTAGGTGTGTGTTGGAGATGATTATTCCCTTTCTCACAGATTTCTAGGTGAAATTAATTGTCTGGACTTCATCAAAAATGAATATGAATACATATGTAATATCAATACAGCATGATCAGCTAAATAAATCTATGCATCAAGTTAATGATATTGATATCTGATGCTCATGAACAATTACATCCTGCTTTCCATTTCCAAAGTCACCTCTACGTAATGTCATCGAATTGACTTACTTAGAGGGACAAGAGTAGAGAGACTCTGATAATTGCCTCCAGGGTTCAAAGTTGCTGTAGAAAACAAATCTTCACATTAGCTTTCGTTGTCATTCCACAGTCACATAAAAGTAAAAGTTCTTAAAAGGGGGTGGTAAGAAAAAAACAAAACAAATTAAACAGCAACAAAAAGAGACTTGTAAGAGACAGACAAAGAAAAACGGGATGGCTGGAGAAGTAACTCAGTCAGTAATATGACTGGCATGCAAATACAGGCCCTGAATTTGGATCCCCAGTGCCCAAGTTTGGCAGTATGCATGTGTGAACCCAGTAGTAGGAGTAGAGATAGAGATAGGTGCACCCCAAAAATTTATTGGCCAGTCATTTAAGGTCAAATGGATGAGCTCCACGATTAGTGAGAAACTTTATCAAAAACGTCAGCTGGAGAACAATAGAAGGAGATACCAGATATCAACCTTTTGCTTCCATATGTACATGCACCCACGTACACATGTACCACATTACTAAACATATACAATACACATGTATACGCACTCACACACCCACGCACACGAGATGGGGGTTACTTTTAAAGTGGAAATTAATATTTACTCACTATCCTAGAGGGCTTAGGGCCCATTTATGGTAGACAAAGACTAGAGGACTGCATAGTGGCCTATATTCACATGTGACCTCATATGGTTTACTTCTGGCTACGACTGCATAGAAAAGGAGAGATAGGAGAGACTGCTGATATATGTAAACAATCAGGGCATGGTGGCAACAGCAATACCCATGAAGTTAGAAGACTGATGCAGTATCCAACAATAGATAGTTTCTCTCCTCATGTTGGCCTCACTTGCCTTCTAGCAATATTGGCAGGACTGATGGTGTATAAGGATTATGTATAATGTATAATGATGTATAAAAGTTAATTTGTGTCAGCTTAAACACGCTTAATCAATGGATAAAAACTTTATGATTGATAATTGTAAACAGATAAATCTCTCCCGCCCATTTTTTCCCGAATAACCAGTCAGAGGCTTAATTATTATTTACAAACTGTTTGTTCTATGGCTCAGGTTTATTGTTAGTTAGCTGACTATGACATCTTAAATTAACCCATTTCTATTAATCTATATTTTGACGTGGCCGAGGTGTTACCTGTCTGCTGGTCTATTGTTCCTTGGGTGGTGGGCTGGCGTCTGCTCTGACTCTCCCTTTCTTCCCCCTGTATCTTTGCTTGGATTTTCTACCTGGGTATAAACTGTCTTGCCATAGGCCAAAGCAACTTCTTTATTAAGCAGTGGTAGCAACACATATTCACAGTGTACAAAAAGACCATTCTACAGCAAATAATTTTATTTGTGAATAAATAAGGCTATTTCCTACAAAGACTAGGAAGCTTGTTTTCTAGATCAAAAAGCCAATTAGAACATTGAATACACATCCTTCTCCACATTCCAGTAGGTGTTCAACCCATGTCATCACATCCTTGAGAACTGGCACTTCAATAAGGCCACCATCACCACTACTTTTGGGAAACAAGCTGTTTCCTTTGCTTCCTTTGCTTCTTGGTTTGTTTGTTTGACTTTGGTTGGAACAAAAGAATAGTAACTAACACAGGTTTTCTTTTTTTATTTTATAATTTAATTTAATTCTACATATCAGCCACGGATTCCCTTGTTCTCCCCCCTCCTGCTCCCCCTCCCTGCCTTCTCCCCAGCCCACCCCCCATTCCCATCTCCTCCAGGGCATAGACTCCTCTAGGGATTGAGATCAACCTGGTACATTCAGTCCAGGCAGGTCCAGTCCCCTCCTCCCAGGCTGAGCCAAGTGTCCCTGTATAAGCCCCAGGTTTCAAACAGCCAACTCATGCACTGAGCACAGGACCCGGTCCCACTGCCTGGATGCCTCCCAAACAGATCAAGCTAATCAACTGTCTCACTTATCCAGAGGGCCTGATCCAGTGTGGACCCCTCAGCCATTGGTTCATAGTTCGTGTGTTTCTATTCCTTTGGCTATTTGTCCCTGTGCTTTATCCAACCTTGGTCTCAACAATTCTCGCTCATACAAACCCTCCTCTTTCTCGCCAACTGGACTCCTGGAGAGTGGTTAAGGCGATGGACTGCTAACACAGGTTGTCTAATCACAGGATTATGGCAAAATTGAAGGGTGACACTTGAGAAAACAAGTGGAGGGGTGACTCAATACTCCTCAGAATTGTCAGTCTTCCTACCAGGAGTGAGATTGATTGTGGAGATGGAAGAAAATGGTTGCATTACTGGTAAATTTTAAAGACAGAACAAATGACATTAGCCAGGATATGATATGTAAGTTGTGACAAAGAGGAAGCAGGAAGAATGGCAGGGTAGTCTTGGAAGCTTGGACTATGAAGAGAATGGTGGTAGCATTTATTTAGACATAGGAGATCCCAGGAGAAGCTGTTTGGGGTAGAGAGGGCAAAGTCTGGATATCCATTTTAGAAGTCAAGCTTGTTATGTCAAATTAGACTTCCAACTGGAGCTGTTAGACAGCTGAATGAGAGATTTGAAATTCAGAAGTTAGCTAGACTAAAATTAAATTGTAAGACTCATCCACTGCAGATGGGAATTGATGACTCAGAGTGCTGAGCAGCGATGAGATCATTTTGTAAAACTGCTTCACTAAGTTTGAAGGAAATCTGACTAAACCAGATTATTTCATCCTTTTTTCTACTTCAGTAAATATAGAGATGACTGATCACTGTATGTGTGCATATATTCATGTGTACATACCCATAGTTTTATATGCACACATATGTATACATATATTTATCTTACTATTGCCATATAAATACTGTATTACATTTCTGTAAAGATAAAATAGTGATTTTGCTTTTAATTCTTTTTGAGACATGTTCTTATTATGTACTTCAAACTGTTCTGGACAAATGAGAGTCTATGTTTTTTTTTTTAAGTTGTATATAGCAATTAGTATTAGAAGTGATCTACAGCATTCTGTATTGACAAATAAAAATACTTAGGGAACACATTTCTGTAGGCTTTTCCCTTCAACAGAATTGATATGAACTATTTTGAAGGATTTTACAAGCCAAATCTTTAAGACATGTATCTTCAGTGGTACTGTTTTATAATCAAGTCCTGTTATATAAGGGGATGTTTATGTTTTGAAGCTATTATTCTGATTTATCATACGAATAGATTTACACTAATCTAGCAGCTGTCAAATAAAAAGTACAATAATAAGAGAGAGACAAAATTGTTGTTTATATGGTAGCTGCCTTAGTTACTTTTCTGTTGCT